TTAAATTATGTTGAATGGACTCGGGCTCCTTCAAATTTTACAATGAATCTGGTTGTTAATTTTGAAAGTAGCCTAACTCGATTTTTGTTAATAAAACGCATATTAATTGTCACTATTTTAATAGGAACTATAAATTGAACACCCTTAGATACACTTAAACATTATAATTCGTTAGTATATTTTTAATTGCATTGAAACGCAAACTCTTCAATATCTTGATACATAAATGAAACTCCATTCTCCAAACTCGGCCAGTTTCAAAATATGCAACTTAATTAATGATATCCTTTATGTGAGTTTCTCTGATACTTAATATACACATTTGTTTGCATTAGAACAACAGCAAATTCATGACACATCATTACGAATACCGACTAATCTACCATTAAAACCGATTATAAATTATAGTAGATAAATACAGATTATCCATACTTCTATTTCCTACTCACAACAAATATGTATGAATTTGTTCATGCTTATGTGTGTATATGGGTAATGTGAAGTTTTTTCAATGTCGACCTTCTCTGATGTGAAATTTTTGTGGTACGTAGTCTCTTTGTAGTTCAATGTATGTATGTTAAATATATGTGAGTGTATTGTATATGGTTAAACCGCAACACACATATATGTCTATTATCTGACTTGTTTTATGTGTGTACCGAGTAGCCCAAATGTTTGCTCGACCATGCATAAATCATTTCGTACAAATATGTTTGGTCAACTTAACGGCCCAACCGAACTGCCAAAATTTCATTTCGATGAATCATCTTTAATAAGAAAACGATTTTGAATGAAGATGGTAAGAAAAAAAAAAATTTCTAAACGCACATATGAGTCTTTAGTCAACACAAATTATTTTCATTAGACAGATAGCATTCAAAAGATTAAATGACTTAGTCGACAAAATGAAATCTTCTAAAAAAAAAAAAAAAAAGTAAGAAAAACTTTTATCGTTGGTTGGTTTTATTTTCTTCCGGATCATGATACATTTCAGTTTCCTTTATCATCATTTTCCTCGACATTCTTTCCTCCAGATACATTCCCATGCAGATATAGATGTTACGCAACGGTTTTATGGTGTTACGTGGATTATGTTAGGATTATACGAGCATATCGTGTATTGGGAAAAAAGCAAAAGGGTAGTAGTAACATTCGAAATGGTCCGGAAACTGTGTTCAACCACATTTTGTTGGGGAAAAAAAAAAAAATCTATTCAGTATAAAGCCACCGATTTTTCGTACGAGATAAAATGTAAAATGAAAAATGAAAAATGAAATAGCTTATATACTTGTATACTAAATCCTATAAATCTATATTGTATATGTTAATAAATAGAAAGTATAAAACATATATTTACATTTACATATTGGACGTTATACGTGATATTTCAAAATAGTTTATATTGAAACCACGAAGAGCCATACTATGCGAAGGTATTCTAGTTGATGGACACGTAGGAAAGTCAAATCATGTTTCGTGTACTTTCCACAAAGTTCGACCAGTATACTACACATAGAGACCTAAAGTAAAAGAGAAAGAGAGAGATAGAGAGAGAGAGAGAGAGAGAGTGAGAGGAATTGATATACCTTATCTGTGTATATTATAAACGAACTTCCTTTTACGGTAAAATCTTCACTATTTTGCATCTTCAATTTTCCTGGTTATGTATACGCGTTCTAAAACGAGCTTAACGTAACCTACTTTCCTTTCCGGGAGGTTGAGAAAAGGTTAAGAGCATAGAAAGGTAGTGGTGGTTTCCTTGAAATTAGTAGACAGCAATACGTATCACGATGCTTTACTCTTTTTCTTTTTTTTTGGATTGGAATACATCACACACATACATAGAAAAAGAGAGAGAGAGAGAGAGAGTAGATTAACATTTCTAGTTAGAACTCAAAGTAATAATATTCCTGAGTTATTTGACATTCCTGTGCCTTCGTAATTATGTTTGCCATTTTCTAGGCCACTTTGTTCCACGAATATATTCGACATGTCGTTAATATTTCAGTGACATTTTTAACTCCATTGTTAATCTTGAAGTTTCACTTAACAAAAAATATCAGACACTTAAATGTTATTGATGAGAATCATAAGATTAATTGCTGCTTCGTTTTTATTTGTATGAATGGAAATAGGAAAAGGAAAAACTGTGAACCGATTAAATTGTCAGATGGTATAATGATCTCTAAAAACAAGAAATCAATTAGAAGGATAATGGTACAACTCACGAATAAGTTGTTAATTGTGGTAAGATTAAGAACACCTGTGGTATGAATTATTATACTAATAAAGATTTTTAATCAGTTGATAGAACTAAAAGTTAAAAGATTCATTTCTTTGTTTTAATTGTAAGTGAACAGTGAACCATAGATGAATTGATCCCTAAAAGAAAGAAATCAATTAGAAGGATAACTGTAGAACTCACGAATAAATTGTTAATTGTGGTAAGATTAAGAACACCTGGTAGGATTTTTATTATTAATAAGATTTAAAATAAGTTCACAGAACTCGAAGTTATAAGATTAATTGCTTCGTTTTAATTGTAAGTCGGAAAAAGTGACCCAAATATTGAACCATAGATGGATTGATCCCTAAAAGAAAAAAAATCAATTAGAAGAATAACTTGAATGAAATATTAATTGCGGTAAGACAAAGAACACCTGGTAGAATTTTTATTATTAACCAGTTAATTATGGAGCCCTCATTTGAGACCGCGCACTGTTTTGTGTCGCCAGAATAAGGCCATGACGAGTATATTCGTCAATGAAAAAGTAAGTTATGTTTGAAACATATTGAAATTTGAGTATATGTTTTGTTTTTCTCAAAAATTACAAATTTAAATGGCCAATGTGGTCGTTACTTTATACGTATGACGAGTATATTCGTCAATACACTTCTCTATGACGAGTATACTCGTCAATTACAGAGTAAGTTACGCTTCAAACATATTGAAATTTGAGTATACGTTTTGTTTTTCTAAAAAATTACAATTTAAATGGCCAATGGTGGCTACTTTATATTCACGACGAGTATACTCGTCAATGCACTTCTGCACTCGTACATCACAGTAAATTGATTAATAAGATTCCGAATAAGTTGACAGAACTAAAAATTACAAGATTAATTGCTTTCTTTTTAATATTAACATGTTAATCGGGTGGACGTATAAATACGTCAAACGTATTGTTTTAAAGCTAAAAGTACAAATCTTTGTACTTTATATATAAATAAATGAAAAAATATATATTTCCTAGTCTTTTCATTTATTTTAAGCATAAATAATAATAAATAATAAAAAAAGGTGCGTAATTAAAAAGGGGTTTCCCCGAATAACACGTTGAGCGCCACGTCAGTCATCGGTGGCTGACACTAGACTTTCCATTTAGGCCGCGTCAGTCATGGATGACTGACACGTTCAACTATTTTTTTAATACAAAGTAACGTCTGTGGCCTGACAGGAATTTCTCTAAGAATTCATGTGGCGCTGAACCTGTTAATAGGTTGAGAATCGTAAGAAATTAATTAGAAGGATAAGTATAGCACCTACGAACAAGATATTAATTGAGATAAGATATAGAACACACACACATATGTACATGTACATAGAAAAACGTGGTATGATATTTATATATAATTAAAAAGATTTGATATATAAGTTGACAGAACCTAGAATTGAATTTTTTTTTTTTTTATCTCGTTCGTCCTATTTCTCGGGTCAAAATTTGATTCGCGTTTTTATTCAATATGCGCATGTGCGCGAATAATACCGTGGCGCGCAGTGAAAGACCGCGAGAGTGGTCTTTCAGGATTTCGCAATCAGTCGGCCAAGAGCCGTCATTCGACGAACATGCGATTTCATTTTTAAAAGAAGACGAAATAAACAAACGCGTTGCGAAGTAACGTGTGTCCCATCAACCAACCAACCAGCGTGATTTATTGTTCGTTTGCAAACAACATTGCAACGACTATTTTGTTTATTCCAATCGTATCGACCGTAACAACGACAATGTGTGTTTAAAAAAAAAAAAAAAAAAAACTCTCTGTCTGTCCTTCTTTCTCTTTCGTAGTTGATTGAGTAAATCGTTCGACGAAATTAAAAAAAAAGAAAAATACTTTCAAAGGGGGATGATCGTACGAGTCAAAAGGTTTTAGAAAAAAAAAAAACAAAAACAAATACTAGACAAAAAGCTTGAAACGAACAAAAAAAAAAGACAAATCAAATAACGCGGGTACAAAAGCTCGGTAAACGTGTGCGTGTATGTAGCAAAATAAAAAAACAAAAAAAAAACATTGCGTTCGTGTGAAAGTTTCAACAAAGCTAAATTAGATAATTCTTTCGTAAAACGTTCGACAAAATAATTTAGAAAGAAACAAAAAATCAAATACGGAGTTCCTAAAGGTGGAAGAAATTTTGGTTCTTTTTTTTCTTTTTTTTTTTTCTTGAAACAACTCGGAAAACTATACGATTCGTTAGTGAGAAGAAAGTGTTCGAAATAAACTTGTTAACTTTTCTTTTTATTCGAATTTTTTTTCGCGGTTTTATCGAGTAGGAAATATTTTTCAAAATGTTTTCAAGGTTTCGTGATTAATCCGACCAAAAGATAAAATACAAGGATAGTTTTCTTCGCGGTCGTTCAAATTTCCCAAGTTAAATAAAAACGAGAGAAATAATAAAAACGTGACTAGGATTTTGATAAAGGGTTGTTGGATTTGTGCGTACACATATGAATCCTTTTCTTCGTACCTGACTCTATTTATATTGACCAACCCTGAACGAACGTGTAGGACCGATTTACCTCAACTAAAATTATCGGAAGTAACACACGTGTGCATTCACGCACACATTTGGTGCCTGTTGTTAATCGAATACGACCAATAATCGCATTAGATGGCATACTATACGATGAGGACGATTTTAATCGAATAATAATATCGATAACAACATATTGTTCATAATAATTCAATTCTCAAATTCAACTATTATATTTAGGAATATAATCAAAATCTGACAAAATAAGAAAAAGGAAGAAAAAAATGAAAGAGAAAGGAAACAAAACTAAGGGATGATGATCGATAATACGTGTTAATGTACTCGCAGAGTTTTCCCGAGTGTGAAAGGAAGGGTATTATACCTAACAGATGTTCACCTTTAAATGGAAATGGATCAGCATTAGTTACTCGCGACCTTAATACGAATCAGGATCAATTTTCGTACGTTCTCGGTGTTTAAACGTTAAATACTTAAACTGAGAATTAAGTGAATTCTAATTAAAAATGATTTACGTTAATTCTAATTTGGTGTTCATCAACTATCAACAACAACAACAACAACAACTACAACAACAACTTCAAGTGTTCCAGTAAAATCGTACGGATTTTGTGCTTCGTTAATTTTTAGGTATGTTGATCAATTTAAACCAAATTAATGTAACCAATGATAATTTTTTGTTTTTATTAATTAAAAAATTTCTACACCTTGTCAATTATCAACAACAACAACAACAACAACAACAACAACAACAACAACAACAACTACAACTATAACTTGAAGTTTTCCGGTAAGAACGCACGGATTTCATGCTTCGTTAATTTTTGGATATGTTAATGGATAAATTTAAACAAAATTAATGCAACTAATGATAATTTGTATTTTTTTTTTATTAATTATAAGATTCTACACCTTGTCAACTATCAACAACAACAACTGCTGCAACTACAACTATAATTTAAAGTTTTTCAGTAAAAATTTATGAATTTTGTGCTTCGTTAATTTTTGGATATGTTGATGAATTTAAACCAAATTAATGTAACTAATGATAATTTGTATTTTTTTTTTGTTAATTATAAAATTCTACACCTTGTCAACAATCAACAACAATAACTACTGCAACTACAATTTAAAGTTTTCCAATAAAATCGTACGGTTTTTGTGTATGATTAATAAAACATTTGGGTTTGTTGATGATTTTAAACAAAATTAGTGCAATTAATTAATGATAATTTGTTTAATTTTTTTTATTATTTTTTTTTTGTTAACAATAAAATTCCTATACCTTGTCAGCAACAACAACTACAACTACAACTTGAAGTTTTTCAGTAGAAACGTACGGATTTTGTGCTTTGTTAATTTTTGGGTAAGTTGATGAATTTAAACAAAATTAATCCAACCAATAATAATTAGTTTAATTTTTTGTTCTTAACTATAAAATTTCTACACCAATACGATCATAATACTATCCTATTTGATGGATAAATCTTTTGAATATAATGAAAAGTGAAAAAGTATTTCAAAGTGATTTTCAAAACGAGATATATTTATGAATCTGATGGTTCGGAAGCCAAAAGCTTTCTCGAACATCCGTAATTTGACGCACACGTTGAACACAATCTCGATGATAGGCATTTTTTCCATCTTTCTATTTTTTTTTTTTTTTTTTTTATATATTTGCCAGCACATATCGGCTTTCGATACTCGATTTCATTCGCGAGTCACCTAGCCAAATGGTCCAGACGGGAAAGTACATTTCGTTTTCCTTCTTTTATATTCTCCCCTCCCACCCTTTTCTTTCTTTCTTTTCTTTTACTTTTTTTTCTCCACTCTCCAATCTCACGTCGTCCTTCGACGATCGATCGTAAACGTTGTAGGGCCGTTATAAGGACGAATAACTTACGCTCCTGGTTACCATTTCTTTTTCATTTCGTTCGTATCAACCCTTTTTATCGTATGATAAGACGTCAACAAGGAGCAAAGATAAATTCAACAAAAGTTGAACAGTTATATCTTTTAGTGATTCTATGGACGCATATATGCGCTTAGTAAAAGTTACCAGTGAGATTTTAATGATTGCATATTCGGGTTTATTAATATTAATGTAAAATAATGTTATGTTCGTCTTACTGTTGATAAGAAGTCAACAACAAGCAAAGATGAATTCGATAAAAATAGAATAGTTTAATCGTTTGACTATTCTATGGACGCTTATATGCGTCTGGTAAAAGTTTCCAGAGTGATTTTAATAATTGCATATTCAGGTTTATTAACATTACTGTAAAATAATGTTACGTTAGTTTTATTGTTGATAAGATGTCGACAAGGAGCAAAGATAAATTCGAGAAAAATTGAATGGTTTAATTGTTTGACTATTCTATGGACGCTTATATGCGCCCGGTAACAGTTACCAGCGTGATTTTTATGATTGCATATTTGGGTTTATATGTTCGTTTTATCGTTGATAAGACGTTAACAAGAAGCAAAGATAAATTCGAGAAAAATTGAATAGTTTAATCGTTTGACTATTCTATGGACGCTTATATGCGCCCGGTTAAAGTTACCAGCGTGATTTTAATGATTGCATATTCGGGTTTAATAATAATAATGTAAAATAATGTTATGTTTGTTTGAATATTGATTATTGATTTTGAGTATTGTCAGATGAAAATTATATTTATTAAACATAAACTTTAATTATTAAATATTATTAATTATTAGAATCTATTGGATTGTTCGGAACGTAATTTCATTTTAAATTTATCAAATTTAACTGTTTACGCTCACCTAAAAGGCGTAGGTTTTAGGTTAGGAAGCAAAAATTGTTTTCATTTTTACAAAAGAAAAATTCCGAACAATCCAATAATTAATAATATCAATCCCACTGATAATAAATTATTTCATCCCTTTAAAACACTTCAGATAAAAGTATTCAGTATCAAATAGTTAATACAAGTAAATAAGTTCGTTTTGTGCGAATAAAATAAAAATAAAAATAAAAATGAAAGAAATAAGATAGATTGCATTTGTTGCAATCTATCAAGCTTCAAAACGTTAAACTTATTTTATTGAAATAACGAGGCAAAGAATAAACGGATATATTTCCTCACGGGTAAAATTCTATCTGAAATTGATAACAACGAGGTCAACGGGTTAACGAGACGGGAAACTTGAACCTTTCAAGAATTCAGCGTTTTTACTTGTGGGTATCGTTCCCGTTAGGATATATACAGTGAGTGCAGAAAGTATTCATACACCGATCAATTTGATATAAAATGTTGTGAAATTAACTAATTTTTTATAAACAATGAATTTGTACATATTCTTGAGAGTTTCTACAATAGATATAATGAAATATAAATCATGGTCGCGAGTCAAAAGTTTTTCGTAAATGAAATGAATAGGAAGAAAAGATTGGAGTTCGCAAATAATAACATTAAAAGACCAATGGAGTAATGGAATCGAGTTATTTTTACAGACGAGAGTAAATTTCATATTTTTAGATCAGATGGACACTGCACTGTATGAAGGAAACAAAATAAAGAATTGAAATCAGAAAACTTGCGACCCACAGTGAAACACGGTGGAGGTTCTGTA